AATTCGATGCTTTTTCTGCTGTTCTATCGTTTTCCGCGCAAGGCAGTTGCAGAAGGTTTATGGTTTGGACGGCAGTTGCTTCTTCGTACTCTTATAAAACTGGCTTGATTGGTGTCATTCGCTGGTTGGGTTGCTGGTGAGCTTACTGGGAAGCAAATTGAGCAAAATTTTTATTTAAATAAAATCAACTGTTTTGATCACTTGAAATTTTTTCAGTAGTAGAGCCAGGAGGTCGAGCCAGCGGTCGCTGTGTTTTGCAGTGATGGTGGAAAAGGGAGTAGGGGGAGAGATATGCGAAAAGCGTTAAGAAGTGGAGGTGCAGGAAGTTGAAAGAGGGATATGAGGTTCAGCTGAGAGGTAGAAAACTAATTTAACCAATCAGAAAAGCATTAAAATTGGAAGGAAGCAAACTGAGTCAAAAAGAGAGTGCGTATGGGTCTTAATATTCGAAGGATAAAAATACAGTTAAGGGGGGACGGGGAGGGGTATCAACCTGCTTGTTAGTGCATTTCCAATAGCTAAATTGGCGATTTTTGTGTGGGCAGCCTCATTAGTAGGAGTTTGTCATTGCAGTGATCGAAATGGCATTGGGCAGCGTGGTGCATTACCTTGCGTTATGGCTCCAAAATTGCCGCCAGCAGAACAGCGGGAAACAGTGTTCGTGAAAACGAATATTTATCCACTGGAAGTTGAAAATCGAATTGTGTATCGCTACGATGTGCGCATATATGTAAGCCGTGCTGGTACATCGAAGGAAAGGCCGGTCGATTTATGCAAGGGCGAAAGAGATGAGTATGTTTTATGGCGATTTTCACTCCTTTCTGCTGCAACACAAAATAAAGCAACCAGACACGAAATAAATCCTCTGGCTTAGGATTTTAGCGAAAATTGCGATTGAAAGTGATTAAAAAATCGTCATCTCACAGAAGAACTGTTTGGCGGTGTGAGTCAAAAATTCTTGACCTTCAGGCTCGTAATGCACAAATAAATTAATCAGTGCTGTGGAGCTCAGAGTGGTGGGCTATTCTGTATTGACTTCATACATTCATGTTAGTTTTGTGTAGCTCATTCCAGGCGCACAGTGCTTCTTGATGAACACTCGACTGGGCACGGCAGATGCTGGCTTCTCAGACACACACTCTTGACACACCTGAAAATAATATATAAGCCTTTATGAGTCCTCAAATTTGAGTAGCAACACATAGCCATACACAATTTCATGCACTTAGCGCCCCAAGCCCCCCTCTCCTATTCTCTGCTGTCAAGGAGAAACCCATGACTACATCCAAGGGAAGCTGAACTACCAGGACGCGGAGTGGGGGTGTGGGGGGAAGACGAAGAAGAGAGGGGTAAAAGGAGGAGGGAACAGAGGAAAACAGGTGGCATAGCGAAACCCAGGATGAGCACACTGGAACAGCGGAGTCCCAGCGGATTTGCCGTTCGGTGAGGAATCCGTGCATAGGGTCGAAATGATTCCACACCATGGAATTCCAGTTTGTTGGGAGGAGACACTGCCATAGCATGCGGCCCGTTCATTGGCCCTCATTTTTAAGGAGGGGCCCAAGTTTGTTGTTCGATTTTCCTTTTTTTTTTGGGTGGGTCATCCAAATAGTATGGTGAAACGGGGTCGCATTAATGGAGGGAGAATGGAACTTTCATGGCTAGGATCGTAGGTGATTAGTGAGGGAGGATGAGCGTGAAATTTTGCGATGCCGTGACCGCAGCGACTTGAATTTTGCAACGCTGTCGGTGCAGGTAGAGGAATAGGGGTACAGGGAATTATTAATGCAAATGGGGGGAATGGGAATGTGATTCCCATTTACATATGCGTATCATTTGCTAGTTTTGGAATTGCGAAA